GCCTGGAACTCGATATACAGACCAGGCCAGGCTGGCCCAGATCTCACAGGGATCTGCCTGACTCTGCCTCCTGAGTACTGGGATTAAAGGCAAGTCACCAAGTCCAGCAAAAAAATCAAGGACTTTTGAACAAAATGTATTAGATACGCCTTCTGAGCATCAGCAGGAAGCTGTGTGAGATACCCTCAGGGCATCCACAGGAGACATTCAGCAGGCAACTGTATTTAAGAGACTGTACTTTCCAAGAAGTCTGAGGTTCAACCTGAGGCTCTGACAGTGGCTTTCAGGGACAGCTGCATCTGTGAAGAGTAGGTGATGTGTTCATACCAAACAGTGATGAAAATAGACTTATAACCTTAGATTGCTTGTATTTAAGAGTCAATTGATGAGGCCTTTAATCCCAGCACTCCTGAGGCAGAGGCAAATGGAAGTCTGTGATTGAGACCAGCCTGTTCTACACTGTGAGTTCCAGGCCAGCTGTGACTACAGGGAGACCCTGGTTCAAAACAACAACAGACTCAGCTGAAGGGCTGAAAAGATGGCTCAGTGGTTAAGAGCAATGGCCAGTCTTGCAGAGGACCCCAGTTTGGTTCCTAGCACCCACATGGTGGCTAACAGTTGCCCATAACTCCAGTTCCAGGGGATCCAATGAACTCTTCTGACCTCCAAAGGCAGTACACTTACATACATGCAGGTAAAACACATGAAGTAAAAAAAAATCCGAAGCCCTCTTCTGACTTCCGTGGCATTGCATGACACGGATGCACTCACATACTATGCAGGCAATACACTCATACACATAAAATAAAAATAAATAAGAAAATTATTTTAAAAAAATAGGGGCTGGAGAGATGGCTCAGCGGTTAAGAACACTGACTGTTCTTGCAGAAGACCCAGGTTCAAATCTCAGCACCCACATGGCAGCTAACAACTGTCTATAACTCCAATTCCAGGGGCTTTGACAGCCTCTTCTGTCTTCCATAGGCATTGCACAACACAGGCATGCAGGCAATACATGCATGTATATATATATAT